ATTTTTTTTGCACATTTTAATGCGTTGCACTAATTAACGACCAGTGGAGGGCGCTATAACAAAATCTGGTGTCATGGTAAGAAGGCAAAATCCTAAATGTCGGGGATTTTGCTGCTCAATATCTACAATAAATGCAGCTAAATGTTTGATTTTGAAAATCTTTTACGACATATTGTGTGGATACTAAATCACACATGAGGCATTTGGGTACACTATAATAGAATTTGTAGATTGTATCAGCACGCGTTGAAGCGCTACACTAACTTCTGGAAAAGCAAGAGCACTGAAACAAAAGTGGAGGGTAAGCCTATTAAATTTGGGAGCGCTACACCAAATTTGGAGCGATGTGGTCGAACATAAAATATTCAGGGACTCAAAATATTTAGTCATTTGTGGAAAATGGAGTAAATTTGAAGGATTTTGGTTCAAAATGATGCTAACTAAACTCAGCCTCATTTTGATTTTGCAAATGTGAGAGGTTGGACACATTTTTTTAGGATATTTTTTGGAACTATATGCCAAACTCTAAAAATACGTGATTGCATTAAATGACAAACATTGGTACGTTGTGGATCTCTATACCATCTCTTTACTAGTACAAAACTGTATCAACCAAAATTTGGGATTATTTGGATTAAAGTCAAAATATCAGATTTAGAGGTTTGGCTTGTGCAGCAACAACAATAAATCTTTTCAAGCATCCTTTGAAGAAACATTTTGGAAATTATAGTGTATTTCATAAATAAAAACGTGAGGTATTGTGCACTGTAACCCAATCAGAGGTTAAATCTGCATACGTTGGAGCACTGCACCAATTTCTGTAAACTATTTGGGACTATAAGCCATACCAATAAAAGAGGCGCTACACCAAACTTGGGAAATTTTAGAAAAATCTAGAATATTTAGGGACCAAACTAATACATACATTTGTACATAGTGTAGTTAGTTTGATGGATTTGGCCATTTTATAATGTTATAACAAACTTTTTTTAATGAATGCTGCTCACAACTAGAGCACATTTTGATGTTACAAATGTGCAGGTTTGGGATAAATGGAGCATTTTTTGTGATTTTTTTAAATATATTATTTTAGATTCCCAGTGCAGTGGGGGAGCACTGGTGCAAAAACTGTGATTATATCAGTGAGCTGTGGAGGATTTTGTGATTAATAATCTTGTAGATTTGGGAGCTCAACAGTTCATATCTCCACCAACAGCTGCTGGCACAACCAGGCTGAGATGCTTCTTGATTTCTTCAGTGGTTTTCTCCGTAAAAAAAACAAACAAAGACACTCTGATCTTGTTTCTGCCTGGAAGACGTTCAGAGTTGAGCAAAGTGGGGAAAAAAAAAATCAAACGAGAGCGAGTGATGGGGAACAACCAGAGACGGTGGTGCGTTCACGGCTGTTCGGGGAAGAAACAACAGCGTCCGTCCGGGAATCAGAGAGCTGCGGAGGGAGAAGGGGGAGGAAACAGGGAGGCAGGAGGGAGGAAGGGAGAGAGAGAGAGAGAGAGAGAGAGAGAGAGAGAGAAGAGGAGAAACCTGAGAGTGAAGTGAAGCTCAAACCTCAGATCAGCTCATTTCTCTCCAGTCGGTCCTCCAAGAACAAGCTGCGCTGCTGGATGTTCACAGCTCGTCTTTATTCACAGAAACCATCGCCTGGGTGAGTTTACATCAACAAACTGGATTATTTGATGTTTTCTACGTGTGATAAGGTGAAACCTGCACAGATTACCCAGTAAATCCAGCGCAGCAGCTTCACTGTGCTGTTTAGTTGTGTTTTCTTTTTTACTTTCTGTCTTTAGCTGAGTGTAAATCAATAATCAAAGTGACCTAAAGCAGCCTGAAGGAGGTGAAAACTGTGGATTTTAAGACACTATGACATGTTTCTGGACTAATGTGCTCTCAGGGCTGCTAATATACATTGTAAAAAAAAGAATCTGTGATTTTGAGGAATTTTTCCTTTTTATTTGACAGATTTTTTTTCACCATATTTCTTTAAATACACCAAAAATATCAATAGATTACAAAAACACACACTAAATTTATAAGTCTAATGCAAGAGCTGTAATTTTGAATAACCCTAAGTTTTCCTAAAAATAATAATATTTTAAACATCAGGCCACTGTTAAAATTACAATTATGCCATTTTTACAAATAGATGAAACGGTTAAATTTAAGTTTGATGCTGTTGATATATTTCTAAAATTAGACACTGTTGCCGTTATGTATGTCTGTTATTGGTCATTTTCTTGTTCTTACACATGCAAATCTCAAAATACTCTTTAGCTCTTGTAACAGAACTGACTAATTATGTTCCATCATTGTATTTGTTTGGTGTCCCAACTGCTGAAGTGTTGAAATATTGCCTTTTTTGTACAGTTTCCCTTTTTCACTCTGTAGAAACTGAAGTCAAATGATGTTTTCGTGTACATGCTTTCCTACAGCATGTAGAGAATGTGACTGGTTGTAGACCTACAGACAGTCTGGTGAAAACCAAGGTTTGTACAACACCATGGCTGAACATTCACCTTCAAAATGGAGCGTAATGGTGACAGAGTCAAAAACAATTCAGGGTTTCATACGTAACAAATCGAGGGGACAAATCCAGTCATTTTGCAGGATGAGGTTTTCTGTATCATTTTTCCTCTTCAGAATCAGTTCACAGTTTGAACATGTGTGGTTGAATTACCAGCGTAGAGCAGTTTTGAGCAGAGTTGTAGGTGAGCTGGTTTGCTGAGCTGCAGCGAATAAGTAATAGTGGAGGGAGAGTGGGGTGGGAACATTTTAGATCTGCCCACTGTAGTAGGAACAAGTTTAATCTGTCATTTTAAAGGACAAAGGGATTATCTAATGGGGGAAAAAACATTCTAAATATGTAACTTTAACACACTGAGATCATTTTTTTGAGTTACATCAACCAGGGAAGAACATTTTTATCACAAACCATTTGGCTGATGTAGATTCAGCACATAAATGTATTTTTCTAAGCTGTCCAGTGTCAGTTGGAAACTTCTGAAGTGTTGTCGACTCCCAGAAATGCAGGTATTTGCTCGGGTGGTTTAATGTTTAAACTCCAACTTCCTCAAACTATTTCAACATTTCCAGTTGCAGCCATGGAGTGCCTCAAAAACTGCTGCAAGAACTTCATGAAGAGGAGGGAGAAGGAGCAGGAGACTCAAGGTAAACTGATCTCCTGCAGTCTATGTATAAAGCCCTTTGAAAGACTGTTTTGTCTCTGACTGAGGGGGTTTCTTCTGCTTTAAAGTGATCGCTCTGAAGATGCCTCCAGATCAGACGGAAACGTCAGCACTTAGTGAAACGAGGAGGGGAGTCACAGAAGATTACCTCCTTTCCAAGCTGCCGCCGGACGGCCGAGAGGTCCCGTTTGTTCTGCCGACCTTCAGGGCCTCGTACATCCAACCCAGAGGACCTCAGTACCCCAACTTACAGTCTGGCCTGCAGAGTACGTACCTAAATCAATTGGTGCATCTCAGGCGTGAAGGAATTTGCTTTATTTACCAACCGTCTGGTTTGATTAGCTGCAGGATTTGAGAGGATAGTGTTGACTTAGAAGCTGGTTGGTTAATAATCACATCATTATCATCATCGTTTGTTGGGCGAACATTATTTTACATCTGCTGGAATTCAGAATAATAGCAGCAATTAGTCAAAATACAGCTTTTATTGTTATATATGTTTGTTGAAGGTTCCTTGTTTTTACACAATAATAATAATAAAAGTTAAAAAAAAAAAAACTCTAATGTAAAATTAATGTTAGAAATTATATTATATTTATGAAAAATTTTAGTATTTCTATTGTTTAATGAGAGCTATTTTCATTACAGTACTTTTATTTTTGGCACCACAGCTGCAAAAACAGCACTATTGTATTTATTTATTCATTTATTGTTAGAGGTCCTTTCTTCTAGTTTTACACTGTATAAATGTTGACTCAATTTGGAGGTGTGGGCGACTAGATGCTGCTGTTTTTTTTATTTTGGTAACAAAAAATACCAGATTTTGAGCCATCAGTATATGGTTCAGGACGTAAATCAAATCTTGCCAATGTTGGGTCGTATCAGCACATTTTGGGATATAACAATAGAAGAAATTTGAGTCCTTTGCGCCAAATTTAGTGAAACTGGGGTTAGCTAAAACACATTCAGAGGTAATGTCAAACTTTTCCAAATTCTAGAGTTTATCGTTCTGAGCCCTGTAAAGCCTGATTTGTAAATTGATCAAATCAGGCTTTGATTTTCCTTAAAAACGTGAGACGACCATTTGAGCATCACGTGATGCTTCAACACAAAATAAACCCTGTAACTTACTGACCACAAGAGGATCGCGCTATATGCTGATCTGAATCCTAACATGGTCCCAACACTGGGCCAACGCGAGAGTTAATTAAGTCTTTGCAAATATGGCCGCCGCAGATGTACCGGATCCGGCTTACGTTTGATCTTTGTCAAACGTTTCCGCCCCCGCCGGTAGCTTCTGACTTATCTCAGTTTATGTGTAAACAAGACTGTATCAACAGTCCTGGCACTGTTTTGTAGAAGATTTATTACTGTAAATGTCACCACACCTCAGTTAGCTGTCGTTCATTAAGGCCTGGATGTGTGCAGACAGCTGGATGTCCAACGTACAAGGGTGGATCAAAAAGTTCAGAGACTTTGTGATGTGCCGCCAGTGAGCAGTGAGTCAGGATGTAACATAACATTGTGCCGTCAACAGCAGGACAGATGTTGGCATTTGTGATTTCACCATGAACCTCACACTGGAGCGCAGAAGAAACGTCACATTCGGTGTCAGTCAGCAGCTGGATGATCCAAGCTTCATGTAGACCATCATCGGTGGTAATGAGAGGTGGGTTTGTGGCTATCATCCAGAGAGGAAACAAAAGTGTTCACAGAAGAAAAGCACCAGGAGGATGCTTGTTGTTTTCTTCAACGTTCATGAGGTTGTGCACCAGAAATCAGTCCCCAAGAGTCGGACTGTTGAGGCAGAGTTCAACTGTAACGTCCTGAAGCGTCACATTGACATTTGGCCCAAACCGCCTGAACTTTGGTGTGATGACATATGACTGTTCCTCCCACAACAACACAGTCATCACTCCCCACCTGCCCTACCTGCTGGATTTGGCTCCTTGATGTGATGATGTCTTCCTCTCTCCTGATATGTTAAATTCAAGTAGAAGGATCACCATTTTATCACAGTTTAGGAGATGATGCTTAATGTGTGGACGTAACATGACATCCAGGGAGTGTTTCAAGTGTTGCAGGAGCACTGGGAGCAGAGTATCGCTGCATAAGGAGGCAACTTCAAGGGGAAAGGTGGTCAAATTTAAACCAGTTTTTGATTTTTATAAGCTCAGTCTCTGAACTTTTTGATCGATTGTTGTACAGTAGGAAAGGACAGGACATGTAAGTCAACATGCTGCAGTCTGGAGCAAAAACACAGTTAAATCATGGCAAAGTTTATAGCGACCAATCCAACTCGAGCTCCAGTCTGCACTAAAGCCTCCCGGTGCCTGTGGCCTCACAAAAGTTTCATTAAAATCAGCTCAGAGGTTACTGAGATATGAGCAGCTGTTCAACAGAAGAAAAGCACCAGGATATCCTGCTTCGAAATGAATGGCTGTAATGTTTCAGTTGAGCGACTCTGGACAATGATTTTGTTTCGAAATTAAGGAATGTTGACCTCCGGCTCATGCTGCGGTTTGTGTGCAGGTTCAGCTCGCAGCACGTATGCAGAGAGGAAGGCCGAGCTGCTGGGCACCAGCCACTTCGCCTACGGCCCCGAATCCAGCTTCCGTCAGGGTCAGATGACCGAGTACATCTCCCCCGGATCAGCCCGCCGAGACACCCTGAGGAGCAAAAACTCCAGTCCTCAGAGCCCAGGTAGCGCCGAGCAGTTACACAGAACTTCAGCTGCACTGAACAGGCTGGGAATCAGAATAATTTTAGCCTTTCAAGGTTATTCAGAATCATATTTAAGATTGGCTTGAAAATAAATAAATCATGTGTTTTATGAATTATCACTGTAGTAAAATTGGAGATATCTGTGAAAAATAGTAGTAAATGTTTTACAAATTGACCAAGACACATTATATATCTCACAATGTTGGTCACAGTATTACTTTTTTGAAGAGTTTACTGCAGAAGTGGATGTACTCAGATCTTGTACTTAAGAAAAAGTAGCAACACCACAGTATAAAAACACTCTAGTACAAGTAAAAGTCGTGCATTTACATTTTTATCTGAGTAAATGTGCAAAAAAAAAAAAAACTAAACGTATCAAAAGTTAAAGTGCTCATCACACAAAGGGGGCATATTTCAGACTAATGCATATTAAATGGTTGGATTATAATTTGTAATGCACTCATGTGTTCATCAAGTATAGTATTCACTAGTATAGTGATAGTATTACTTTGTGATTTACTTGTTGGCTACTATTTTGCATGACTAAACTAAATCCATGACATAACTAAAGTTGTCAAATGCATATTTTAGAGTAAAAAGTGCAACATTAGCCTTTGCATTGTTGTTCAGTAGAAGAACAACGTAGCAGAAAAAGTGAAAAATTCTCAAGTAAACTGTAAATAACTCACAACTGTACTTGATTAATTGCACTTAGTCACTGGTTTTCTGTGATATGAAGTCATGTTGCATCACAGAGTTTGGATAAAGCCTCTGATACATACATATATTACAGCTAAACACACATCCTTATCTGTCGTTATGTAACACCGACTCAACAGTTTGTCCACATTCATGTGTGTTTACTGCTGTAGGGAAAAGTGGTTCTTCATATTTTGCATGTACACCCGAATTCATAACAGATTCCTGCACATAGATCTATAATTATGACCTAAATGACACCACTTTAACCCATTCTGATGGTTTCTACAGGTTGGAGCCTGAAGCCGGGCGGCCAGCAGCGACTCAGCAGCTCCATGTTTGATCTGTCCAGCCCTCAGAGTCACATGCAGGTGAGCATGTTCTCAATCTAATCTGTATTCACACGGTGTTTCTCACCTTGTGTCAACCGAGACTAAATATAGTTTTATAGTTTCCACTGTCCTCAGCAGCTCAGTGGAACACTGCAAACAAGCCTCACAAGGTGGTTTTTTGATTTAAGGGTCCGAGTGAGGAGGTCATTTCGTCCCGACAAGGTGAAACGGATGCAGGTGTGTTATTGGACGGTTGGAGCTGATAGTTCTTGATATTTTTTTCCAGTTCATCAAGGAATCATCTTCACTGGTGAAAATATGATAAATGTATGGAGGCCCAAAGGTGCCATAAAGCCAAGAAAGGAAAATGAGACATGTTACATGGGAAAAATGGGAAATAATAACCTAATTTATATAATAAGGCTGATTTTTCACTGCAAAATGAAGTCCTGCATCTCTATGGAAACAACACAATTATGGAAATAGAGAGAAGTCAAAAATCTCTACTGTGCAGTATGACACAGTTATGATGCCATAAATCATGGAAAAAAAAAAAACGCTCACAAAAATTTAAATTCTTGGCTTTTTCATTTTATATAAACCTGGACGCAATATGTACAACATTTTTCAAAGGACCCACAGGTGTTATTGACATGGGAAAAAGGGACTATTTACGATAGGTACTTTACTACTTTGATTTTTAATTTTTTTCTCTAATTATCTTCTATTTGTTTTGTGTAAACACGTCCTGCAGTTCAGAAGAAAACTCCCTAAATTTTTATCGCACCACTGTTGGTCACAGCTGAGTCACTAATGGTTTCACGGTTGCACTACGGACCACAATTCTTTATTTATTTTATTTTTATTTTTTACAGAATTTCAGCCGATTTTTAAGTGAGAAAGGCAGATTAAGGCGATTGATTTAATGTTTGGTTAAGTTCCCCGACCTAAAGGCCCGTCTCAGATGAGTTGTTCAAGTACTGCCTGAACATTAAAAATCTATTCAATTGTTTCTGCTTTTACCATTTCTGGCTATAAAATGGTGGCATTTTGGCAATTTTGTAAATACAGTATGCCTTTCAAACCTACTGACAGGTTTTGAGGGTCAGGGGGTTAAACCAAAATGGAGCAAAACAAAACAAAAACAGCTAGTTCAAGAATTAGTTAATCATTGTAGCAAATGCACTTATCGACTTTCTTGCCATTAATGTTGATGATGAATAAAAACCACATTCCTGAGCTTTGGATGCACTGGTTGACAGGTTTTTTTCAGCCATGCTAACAGTTTCCCTCTGTTTTCAGTCTTTATGCTAAGCTAAGCTAACCAGCTGTTGGCTTTAACTTTGTGTTTACTGTAAAGACATGAGAGCGGTATTTGTTCTCTTGTGTATTTCTTGGCAAGAGACAAAAAAATCTTTTACCGACTGATGTGAGATTGAAGGAGCTGCGTAATGGTTATTAAAACCTGTTTACGGTCCACCTTAATTACATAACTGTGTTATTTAATGATGTATTCAGTCATTATTACTGCGTTCGGTCAGCTTGTTGGTCCGTCTGTTTCTGCTTTTGTGCTCTATTTTTGGCTCCATGCTGCTTTTCTGTGCCCTTAACTAACAATGAACAGGGGAGGTTGGATCAAAAAGGTGTTATGCCAATTTATCAGAAAGTGATTATTCATTTCAACACTTATTCTTTCTAGGAATCTACTCCTATGTGTCACTTGTGATTCAGCTGCAGCCGTTCTGATAGAACATACAAAAGTGGTGTTTAATCAGTAATACACAAAGGGAAACAAAGACCAGTTTGAGGTGTATTTCTTTGTTAAATAACGGATGTCAGCTCCTAATTGATTAACAGGAATAGTTGAGACTGTGTTGCAAACAATCAATCTAACGTCTCGCCCAAAAACCTCGATAAACATTACAATAGCTGATTCAGAGGCTAACGTCAGAGCGTGTTGTGAACCAACACAGATGCTTTCTTCACCTTCTCTGATGTCCCGGCTCAGCATGCAGTGTGTGTGTGGCAGTTAAAATGTTTAATTTGGCAGCATCAAGAGCAAACAGTAGTAAGAACTGAAAGCAGGAAAGTTACAGCACCTTGGCAACAGGTCTAATAGGAAACAAATAAACCAGAGTGAAGAATGTGAAACAAAAAGTGCAGCTAAGAAAAACGACTTTATAAAGAGGATGTGAGGGCAAAGGCTGTTTTTTTGTTTTTTTGTTTTTTTTTAAGGTCTCATATTTTGAAAATTTGTTTTTATTGCATTATGTATGTCTTAAACACTTGGAGATGTAAAACAAAAGCCATGAGAATTTGAAGTTGTTTATGAAAAGCAGCAGAAAATAGAAACACTGAAGTAAAGAACAAGTAGCTCAAAACTGTACCTAAGTAATGCACTGTAAATATATATAGGTACTTTCCACCAGATGTATTTTTAGTGAGGATAATCCCTTATAGATTCTTATTGTCACAGTGACTCTGAATTTATTGCTTTTGATTGATATATATATATTAAGTAAATTGCTGTGACATTTGGTGCACATTTATGATCACAAGAGGGAAAATTTTGGTAATTCAGAGCCTTTATCAGGTGTATACTGCAATTCATCTAATACTTAGTTTTTAGAAACAAATACCTGCAGCCATACATAAAAGATGGACGCTACACATGTCTACAGGGCAATCACAAGGTAGCAACATCTTAAAACATATCCCGCTTTATTGTCTTTTTTTTTTCTTCACAATGGGACCATAATTTTTTTAATTAATCTCCTTGAAGGAAGCTTGAAACTAGCAACACAGACCATAAACTCATTGGGAATATGTTTACTGAGGTAGCAAATCAAGGCAGAAGAAGAGTCATTTTCTCCTAGACTTCGAGTCAATCAGACTTATTTTTGCAACCAGGAGTCTCCCCCTGCTGGCTGTTAGAAACACTGCAGGTTTAAGTCACTTCTACATTGGCTGCATCCACTAGTTGGTCTCTACAGTTGTACTTTGTGTTTACAAAATAGCACATGTAAGCATGCTAACATGCTAATCTAAGATTCCAAACATGGTGCAAGTGTTACCTGCAAAACATCCACTTTCTACCATTTAGACCAAAGCGTACCCCGTTTTATTGTCAATTTTTCTCTTAATGGGACCAAAATTTAATAAATGAACATCATGTTGTATTGAAGGAGGCTTGAAACTAGCAACAGAGACCATAAACTCATCAGAAAAATGTTTACAGGGGTAGCAAATCAAAGGAGAAGTAAGGTCATTTTCTCATAGACTTCTATACAATCTAGACTTGTTTTTGCAATTGGAGGAGTCACCCCCTGCTGGCTGTTAGAAAAAATGCAGGTTTAAGTCACTTCTGAGTTGGTTTCACTTTTCAGACCCAATCTTTTTATAAACAGTGATGCTTCTATCCTCAGTTGTACTTTGTGTTTACAAAATAGCCCTTTAGCATGCTAACACATGGATGTAAAGTGGTGAACACGGTTTAGGTTTTACCTTCAAAGCTCAGCCTCAGAGAGCTGTTACTGTGGTGGTACACTTATTAAAAGATGGAGTTTTAACGCTGTCTTGATGTGTTGGTTTTCAGCTGCAGCGCTTCGACTCCGCGTCCAGCGTCTTCAGCAGCGCCTCCTCCGTGATGAGCTCCATGGAAAGCAGCCTGGGTAACTACCACTTTCATCAAACCTTCATTTTTGTCTCCCAGATTCCTGTTGTAATGAGAGGAAGGAAAATCCCTTCTCACAAAAAGGGACATGACGGAGTCCAGTCGAGAACACTTGCATTGTGAAGCAGTGAAAAGACAGAAAAAAAAAAAGATCACTTCCAAGTGTTTTCACTAGGAGCCTGGGAGATTGTGTTCCTCCATGAAAAGAAACAGTTTTGGAAATTGCAGTTCATGTTGCTTGTAGAAGGTCCTGCACAGATGATAACAAACCGTCTCTTTATTTCTTACATGTGAACCCGTCATAAAATAGAATAAAGTAATCGTAACATGCACAATTCGATACAGCTATTAGTTTTCTTTTTTGTCTGAATATTTGAATGAATTTATCCCAAAACTTCCCTCTTTAAACACTAATCAATACTATAGCCGCTGTGCAAGCTTATTTATATGTAGAAACACTACATGCTTTCATCTTCTCATTCCTAAATGCCACAGAGTCCATCGCCCTGTCCGGAGACGAGCGCGACCTGGGAAAGGTGTGCGTCCGGCTGAGCTACCAAGAGGCAGTGGAGCAGGTGTGGATCACCCTGGTTCAGGTAAGGTTACATGCAGGGAGGAGAAGGGGGGGAAACCAGGACAAAAAGCTCCATTGTTTCGCCCCCTGCAGAGTTTCTCAATGGACCCTCTGTGTGTCCAGAATAGGGGCCTCTATTTGCTCCTCTCAACGCTCTGTTAACTTTGGCTCGGACACTGAGGAGGAAAAGGTTGTTTTCAGAACCGTCCTGATGGATGTCGGTGTTTTAAAGAAGCCACACCGTGCGTATGAGTTTGTTTGCTGTAAATGCAGAGATGTGCACAAATACCTCAAAGGCACAGGGGCAAACAACAAAAAAGAAGCACCTCTTTCCCACCTCACATGAGGGTAGTGGAATTAGTCAGGGTTTGTTTTTGTCCTGAGGTCACATCAGTGCAGCACTTGAACCATCCACTGGGACTTTTAGATGAACAGGTTGTGGTTGCACAAATGGTCTTACTGTGTAACTTTATGCCTTTCTTAGAGCTTAAATGGAGCATTATTTTTTACTAAGCAGAGCTCTTCGACCAAATCCTGCCTTCTTTAGAGCACTTTAGCCTCGTGGAACTCTGGGCATCCCAAGAGATCTGTGCTCTTAAGGGCTTTTTGCTCCCGTCATGTTTTTACTCACTGTGGGCTCATTATTCACCGTAATGTAAAGTCCTGCACCTCTATGGAAACAACACAACCATGACTAGAAGTAGAGAGAAGTCAATAATGTCTTCTGTGCAACATAACAATGTTATAATGCCAAACAAAAGAAAAAACAAAAGTTGAACCTTTTTGATTTTTTATTTCACAAAAATTAAAAAAAAAATCTGGAATCAACATGTAAAATTTTTCCAAAGTGAGCCAGAGAGGATAAATACAAGAAAGAAAAAATGGAATCTACCTACTATAAATATTTTACTATTCATATTTCTTATTTATCTGTGACTATTGGTTGCAGCTAAAATACTAAAACACAGTTGAGCTGAGAAGTGCTGAATTTTTTAATTTTTTAGAGAATGTGGTTGAAGGAAATTGTTCCTTGTTTGACAAACTTCTAAATGAGATGTGAAATAAGCAAAAAAAACCTAAATCTTACATCTCTGAAATACTGCAATTTTAAGCTTAGATTTTCTAATTTTCTTCACAGAGCAGCAAGTCACACATGAGTACTTCAAGTGCCATCAGAAAGTCGAAACTCTATTCTTTTTTTCTGTTTTTACAATTTCTCGCTCAAATAAATGGTGTCATTTTTGCAATTTTTAAAAAGATAACATGCCTTTCAGTCTCTCTTGTGGGTCTTGGAGTTCAAGGGGTTAATTGGCTTGTTCACAGTCATTGTTGGGAAAAGCCTGCTAATGGATATTTCAAGGTTTTAAAAATGCTCCTCCAACCTTTACCCAACAATCAGCAGCCAATGGCTTCTCGAAGTAGCTGCCCTGCACTCTAAAAATAAAAAATAGATATGTCCACAAAGCAGGAGACGGCTGGAAAAAGACAGCAAAGCCTGTTCAGGTTGGTAGTTAACAGGACAGGAGGAGCTCAAATTAAGGTCTGGAAGATCAAGACAAGCTTCTTTGACTGCAGAAAACCTTCAGGAAGGTTGAGCAGACTCTGGAGTGATGGTGCACAAATATCCATCCATCTATCCATTATCTATACACCGCTTAATCCTCATTAGAGTCGTGGGGGGCTGGAGTCTATCCCAGTTGACTCAGGGTGAAGGCAGGAGACACCCTGGACAGGTAACCAGTCTATCACAGGGCTACACTTAGAGACAGACAACCAAGCACACTCACATTCACACCTACAGACAATTTAGAATCACCAATTAACCTCAACATGTTTTTGGACTGTGTGGGAGGAAGCTGGAGAACCTGGAGAGAACCCACGCTGCACGGGGAGAACATGCAAACTCCACGCAGAAAGATCCCAGGTGTCCTCACCGGGATGCAAACTGGCGACCTTCATGCAAGGCAATGGTGCTAACCACCGAGCCACCTTGCAGCCCGTGTGCAAATATGACCTTCATGAAATCGAAATCAAAGAAGCCCTTTCCTGCATCCTCACCACAACATTTCATGTCAGAAGTCTGCAAATGAACATCTAAATAAGCCTGATACATTTTGAAGACAGTTTCTGTGCAGTGATGAAGTTAAAATAGACCATTTTGGCCACAATGGAGAAAATGGTGCAGAATGTCAAGAATAGAAGACCTCTCCGAAGATTAAACATGGGGTTGGATCGATCATGTTTTGAACCAGAAGCAGCGGGAACGTTTTACTGGTAGAGGAAAGAATGGATTTAATTAAATAACAGCAAATTGAGAAAGCAAACTGCACAAAAGCTGAAGGTGAATAGAGGATGACCTCAAAATCCACAACAACAGAACCTGAAGGTTTTGTTCTCATCGTCCATTCGTCTAAACATCATTGAAATTGAAAGACAGTCAAAAGTCCTAGAAGGGAGAAGCCTTTTGGAAGAAAAAAATCCTGCAAACCAATACTCTTTGAGAAGGATTGGCCTTGGTTTCAGGACTTTTCTTTTCCTGTTATTTTTAAACTGTAAAAGAAGTAATTAAAAAGCAATCATGCTTAAAAATGAAAGAAATGTACCATCTTTAACTCCCTGGTCTTCTTTTAACACGGTAACACTATTTTTAATCTGCCACTGCAAGTAGATTTGACTGTTTCCTTTCTTTCTTTCAGTGTTCAGACCTCAACCTTTATCCAGACGGAGTAGAACAACAAAAGATTGGTTTTAAAGTGATCATCACCATCCCCAAACCCGTCCAGTTCAAGAGCTCTGTCAAGGACTGCTCTCAGGTATTTGTGCTTTTTAAACCTGATACACATCTGACACGCTGATGTCAGTTTCTACATGTTACCTTCATGTTGAGATTTTATGTTTTGAGGTTAAAATTTGTGTTGTGTAGCTCAGGTTTCAAACTGCTGTGTTTTAGGATAAGGTTCATGAATAAAAAGGCGGTCTTATAGCATGAATTTGAACTGTGCTCTGCTTTCAGGATGTGTCCTTCATGGAGACCTTTGTGTTTGCGCTGCGACTCCAGCAGTTGCGATGCAGCGCTTTGGTGCTGCGGCTGCAGACTCACATCCCGAAGAAACGTACAGTGGCCGAGTGCGTCCTTTCCCTGCGACAGCTTGGCCTTCAGGAGACCGAGCACTGGCTCGACCTCAACCCTCCGTCCAAATCCTCGGTAAGGGTTCAAGACTGAGGTGCTACAGTCTGATTTTGGTTTCATTTCATTGTCTGTTGCTGTTTAAGAACTTCTACTAGATAACCAAGAAGTAAAGATTATTATTTAATCCAAGAAACATCTGATAGAAGGATTTTTTCAGATGTTACAGTAGTTTAGTTGCAAAATATGATCAGCTTTTAACCTGATGGATGTTTTGTGAGATAAAGTTTCAGATAATCTACAGGCCTTCATCCTGAAGAAAGTTATTATAAACTGTTTTTACATTCTGATTTGCTGAAATATTTTACCAGAATCTAAAAATTGTAATTCTACTGGTGGCACTAGAGGGAAAGTCACGGGATCATTCAAGTTGGTAGAATCTTTCTCTGAGGATTGTGAATGTCTTTTTTACATTTTTTTTTCAGGTTCACTTAATTGTTGTTGAAGTTTGTTAGTCTGGAACAACAGACCAACATTGCCATCCATGCTGCTAACATGACTTAAAGACCCCATGTTATGACTTTGGAGGGTTGTCTATAGCTTTTTGCGTACATTAAAAGGTCTGAAAAGCCCCAAAACTATACTGCCCCTGCCTCTGAAATGCCTCAAACAGCCAGTTTGAAGTCCAGGTGTTTCTTCTGTCACCTATCTATGTCAGCATGTAACACACAGCTGCTTGGTGCTAAGCCTCCCTGCATATATTTTGGGTTGCGATACGTAAACAACGTTAGCTCCTTTTTGTCGAGCCAGCTGACCAATCAGAGCAGACTGGGTTTATTTGGAGGGAAGCTAGTGCTGCAGCAATGTACAGTATGACAGAAATTATATATTTTTTGAACATTAAAGCATGTAAACTTATTCTAATAGATCCAAAAAATAAACTTATAGACAAAGGGCATAATATGGGCACTTTAAAATATACATCTCGTGGCTAAGCTTGACCTGAGCTGGTGAAGAGTTTTGGTTATGTGTCACAACATGACGGCGGACGATAGGAAAGTGAATGCAGAAAGACGAATGATGAGTGATGCGTGCCGGCTCATGCAGTCGGAGTCAAACTGTCTCAGCAATATTTGCTGTGTCCTAGTGTTTATAATGTAAAGTAAATATATTCTTGACTGTAAAATCAGCTGATACTGTCTCTATTGCTCCTCAGCTGTTGTGGTCAAGAGGAATAGCTCTGCGTGGGAATATCCCAGAGTGTTTTTTACTACTTATAGTCCACCATTTCCTCCACTGGCTGCTGTCTTTTATCACCCCTTTGTATGAGCACAGTAAATAAGGACAAAGCACTCCCTATGGTGCATTGTATGTGGACATGAGCAGCAGAACGTCGACGCCGAGGCCGATTTTGTTGCATAATCACAGGAAAAACAGAAAGCCGATTCATTTTCGAGGGAAATTGGGAAACAGGCTGTACTGGAGAGAAGATGTAAGACGTGAAAAGTAGGTCAAACCTCAAACCACTTCACCAGCAGAGAGTGGTTTTCTTGATAAATGGATGTATGTCTGGCTGGTGACAGTAAAATGTGAACTGTTTCTCTACTTAGTGAATCATCATTAGCTTCTCAGAGGGACCATTTGATTCAGGCAGTGATTTTTACCCGTCTGCTGGACACAAAGGAGTCAAATTGTCCAAATCACTGCCGCTCACTGGAGGCTTTTAAGGGCCAAGACGGCTGAACTTGTTGAAGAAGAAAAATATCAGCAGCGTTTTGCAAAGAAGCAGGACGGCAAGAAGTCTAAAATGAATCACACAGCAGGAGAGAGCAGATCTGAAGCAACACTCGCAGCTCTGTGAGGCCGAACAAGAGTGTAGATATAATCAGAGTCAGCGTCTTCACATGTTCAGTTCATCATCTTAGTTTAGCCTGTTGCTAACTAGCAGTTTAAATTTTGAACATTGCTGCAGTTTCTTCTTGTGTTTACACAAAATGCAGCAACTGTCCTGATGGAGCGCTTACGTTAAAGGTCAACATATTCAATGCATCAAACTTTTTGACAAAACTTTAGCAGTTGATGCTCTTTATATGTTCTTCTGGCCTCTAAAAATTCTATTTTTTGCCAATAATTAAAGGTCAGACTGTTGTAGCTTTAACGTTCTGAGGTCCTACAATCTTAAAATGTCTTAAAGTGACGTCTAACATCCTGTTCTGACTCTTTACGCTGATGGTTCCAGAGGGAGAGCTGTGATTAAAGGTCAAACTGTGCAAGACTTTCGCCTCTTGTTGCTAATAGTCGTGTCCTTGGTGCTCGCTGGCTGTTTATTGGAGAAATTATAAAGCAAATATCACTGCAATTTTCTACGTGCCGGATAGAAATACACGTAATAACATTTTTTTGCTCATTGTTATGCCAACTATGTACTATAAGTTCTTGTAAATGTTTTTAAAAGATGTTTTACAAGAAATATAGCAAAAATCCAAAAAAGCTTCGATGTCTTTGGATACTTATGTTGAATCTTATCTGTGAAAATGGATTTCTGCATTACGAAAACGTTAAACACTCTGATTTTATGCATAAGTAGAACAGTTATACAGCACAGAATTCCTGAGTTATTAATAAATACATGAATGTCTTTTCACAGGTGTACCACTCTGAGCTGCATCTCACCACCTGCTTTCAGCCGGTCAACGGACGCATCCAGCTCCAGGTCCTCGCCGCCCAAAACCTCCCAGCGTCCTCCTCACCGCTCACCCAGGGTAAGCGTTTCTGCATTTGGAAAGTCTGAACACTAAAAACCAGCAACTGTGATTCTCACGTTGGTTGCTACTACCCCTCCGCTGCAGTGTTCTTCGTCAAAGTGGAGATGCACCAGCTGGGGCAGGTGGCGATGAAGAAGAAGACCCGGGTGCTGAAGGCCTCGGGGGGTCAGTGTCAGTGGGCTGAGACGTTTCACTTCCTGCTGGCGTCTTTAGACCACGCCTGCTCACTGACGGTCAAACTCTACAGCCGCAGCTCAGTCAGGAGGAAACAGTGTCTCGGCCAGGTGAGTCCTGAGCCATTACAGCGTCATCGGTCTGTTCTTGTTGTGTTATTGTGATGTGTTTTTGTTGTCTGACGGAGGCTGTTCGATCCTGCTAACATGATGACAGTTTATTCATAAACAAAGCTCCATGAAGTCCATTTAGGAGTAGTGATGGAGCTTCTGAGTAAGTTTTCATGAAATTTTAGATGATTGAATTTCTGTTTTGTCAGCACGTTAAAGGGATCATGTGGAGGTTATCCACACAAATGAATGTGTTTTACAGTCAAGCCAAACACGTAATTCACGTAATGCTGATTAAGACTATCAGCACTAATTAACTCTCTGTGTATTGCCCACTATACTGGAGTTTGAACTGTAGCGCCTGTGGCAACCTTCCAACAATTTTGTGTCTGTAGCATCCTGAATGTAAAAATGTATCGGCATGTCCACAGCCGAAGTCACAGATCAGTGCCAGTTATTACATGTTTTAACTAATTGGTATCAGCAGCTCTTTATCCTCAATCTTTTGTTTACATCCACTGTCATATAGACGTCGGAAAAGATGAGCTCACCTTGGGGTGGGACACGTTGCGTAACTTGCGTTGGCTTTGGCTGGAGGGTGTTAAGTGTCACAGAAGGCTTTTTGTGTTGCTCATTACTAAGCACACTCCTACAATGCTCTCTGGTTTTCCAACATGGAATTAAATAGCACCTATTTGATACTGCAATAACAGGTACTATGGCTGATTTACAACACATTTTTAGTCATGCATGTTGAGAATTTAGGTTTTCGCTGTCTTTGGAGCTTTGCAACAGCATTTGTGATCACCTACATAACATCAAGGAACACCATGGATGCAGAAATTCGGTTTTTCTTTATGCATCGAAGCACCAGTCAGTTGTTAAGCATATACTCTGGACTGATTGTAGTAACTTTGAGGTGCTTGAAGTGTTTTAAATAGGAAAATGTTATCAGATTGAGACTTGGTATCAGCAGGCCCTAGTAATAAATGACTCAGGTCAGATCTGGTTGAAGAACACTTGATTGTGACAAAAATATATCAAGAAAAGACTGAACAGCGGCCGCTTTGGTTAGCGTGGTGATTACAGGTGCAGTGGACGTAGCTACCGTGACGTCACCCGTTGGTTTCTGCGCTGAGAAAATGAAGCCAGGGTTTTGCTACTTCCTGGTTGACATCTTGGATTTTTGGAGCCAAAATCGTCGGAGGGGGGCGGAGCCATAGAGGCAGCGATTGGTCAGACGGACTGAGAGGCGGGCCCTCTCTGCCCGCCCACATTTACCGCCTTCTGCTCACTTCGTCTGCATCGTCGCTGCCGACTGTCAATCAAGCCAGCCACGCCCCAAAATGTTGACGATTTTTTAAAAATTCAGTATTGATTTATTTTCAGATTGGCCACCTGATCTCTGGATTTGACCATGAAAACTAATAAGAAAAAAATCCTGAGCTGTAGGAATGCAGTATTTCATGATCTGTGATCACTTCTTTTCCAATTCAAGTCTATGGGAGCCAGGGCTTTTTGGAGCCAGCAACTAGCGGACGTAGTGATATTGCAGGTTTTTGACACTTCCGGGTTGGCTTCATTTTTCAGGGCCGGTTGCTACGTCCATCTTTTATACAGTCTATGGATAAACCCAAAAAAAGATTTATCTGTGACATGTTAAAACATGCAAAAAACTGCAACGTCAGCTTCTGGTCAGACCAGACTACATAAGGCTACAGCAGCAAAGCGCCCTGAGTGGGTTGTACTGGGTGGGAGTGTGTTTCATTGCGCATTATTTCATCCTTTCTTTTCCAAGAGGACGACATCGTTTCTTCCTCAAAAGGTGCATATTATTCCTGTTAAAATTTCAGTTCAACTCTCATGTCCATGGACAAAGATGCTCAGATTTTGACTTGAGAAAAAAGTACTTTTAGGTTGCAGCTAACTAAGCAATCTCTGCGTTTGCTTCAGGTGCAGCTGGGATTCGACAGCCCCGTCCCTGAAGCTGTGGATCAGTGGAAGGACACGATGGCTCACCCAGAGAAAGTGGTGGCAGCGTGGCACAGATTGAGCACCTCCTAAACCTCTCCTCCACCACCTCCTCTTCACACACTGCTGACGTAGCGCTCTGTTGCTGCAGGTCTGGACTGCTTGCTTTTCCAGTCGAGCGTCCTGAACGCCGACCGTCAGCTCAGACGGACCGTAAACGGCTGCACGTGCCCTGGATCAGACACTTCAGGTGTTCGCTTGTAAATACCATCGGGGTGTTGAACAAAGTGTAGCTGCTGGAAAAGGCTTTTTTGGTGTTTAGACTAAATGAGGGGTTTTTCTTTAAAAAACTGTAAAATATTTGCTTAACTAACTTAACTTAGTTGTTTAAAATGTTGTTTCCTGTGAGTGTGTCACTGCTGTTTGGTGAAAACCTCGTCACTCTGTTTCAGCTGGATAGAAAGTTAAAGGCAGAAAATAGTGGCAATGAAGTCGTTTTAGAAACTTCATGTTATTGGTGTGTAAATAGGATCCATTTTAAAGGATAAAATGGTGATTTTCTGTATTTTTCTTGTAGTTAACATTCTCAGTACTCACCCACAGACACAAATCTATAAAAATAGGTCACAAAGATTTAGATAGTTCTTTTATATTTATATTTATATATATTTACAAGGCTAAGGAGGCTCTTTAAACAGCTGGACATTGTAGTTTTGTTTTTTGGCAAACACCACATAAACAGGAGTAAATGGTATAATTTTGAAGACCTTTTTATTTTGTAGGTGAATCTCTACACACCTAAAACAAAGACTTTTGCTGACCTTTAATTTGAAAATCCTGGGGACGCATTTTAAACTGGACGGACAGAAACTGAGAATTTTTCGAATTCTGTCTTAGGAACACTTTTTTTCTTTTTGATTGGCTGCTTTAATAATGTAGGAGGACTCACAAGTGCAACAGTGTGCTTCATTAATGTGCTTTAAAGTGAAAATCTAGGATGTTTTTTTACCTTAACATGATGTTTTTATTTGCTAGAAGACACGTCATGAGGGAAAAAACCACCATAATCGGGTATTTCCACCTTAAAACTACAGCGTACCAAAGACAATCTCAAAAACATGGATTCAGACCTTCAAGTTTTCATATTTAACATACTGAAGGAGCCAATCCTTACCATTTTGTAGTGCAGAGTAGTTTTAACAGAGCTGTGTTCGAGCTCGTGTGCAAAGACTTCAGAGATTTGCACGTTCCAGAGGAAGCAAAACTTATATTTAAGTCATTTTCAAGCAGGAATGGAGTATTTTCATGGAAAAACTTGCTATAAATAAGCAACTTTGATGCACAGAGTTGAGTTTTTAGGGTTTTAATCAACAGAAAAGCACAAAAATTCACTCATATTTATCCTTTAATTATCTAAAAAGTGAAGGTTTTCCCTTCCTCCTAATTTATCTTCATAGGATGTCATGTTACTGAACAATGCAGCAGCTTTGGCTTTTGATAAAAGCACTTTAATTGTTTTTTTAAATGTATTTAATGTTGAAAGTTTTTCTGTGATTAAAGTAGGTGTTGTTTGCTAAGCTGTTGTGTGTTTATTGAAAGCGTGCTAATGGAAAATGACTGTTGCTGTCGCAAACCACAATTCAACAAGGATCTCTGATACAGCAGGAATTTAATTTAGAAAACAAACGATGCCTGACCTCGTTATTAAGCGCAAACGTGGAGAGAAAAGAGGCCAAAGTCTTCCTCCACGGTAAACACAGTGTGCAGCTCTTGTAAAACAGGTCAACAACCATAAAGCACTGTGGCACTTTTTATTGAAGAAATCTGAAGGCAAACAGTGTTCCTCCTCCTCCTCCTCCTCCTCCTCCTCACTCTGAAGCATCCTGTTTTTTCCATTTCATTGTTTATTATAAAGCAATTTAAAGTCACGACCGTGTGTGGCGAGTTTCACCCTCAGCTTCTGAAGAGCGATGATGGAAAATAGCATTTGTTGTTTGGAGAAGAACACTTTCTTGTCTGCTTTATGATCGTTTCTTGTCACAGTTTCGCCGTTTGTCATCTTTTTGTGGCCCTTCTGTCTCACTCTGAGCTCATTTTGTGTCACTTCTGGGTCACTTTGTGTCTCATTTTGCTTGTTTTTTTTTGCTTCACTTTGTATATTTTTGTTGCTTTTCTCTCTTTTTGGGGTCATTTTGTGTCACATTCACTCACTTTATGTCTCTGAGGTTATGTAGTGTTTAATTGAGATCATTTTGTGTCGTATTTTTCAAACAGTTTGTGTCTCTTTCTGTTAATTTGCATTTTGTTATGATCGATTTTATACATTTTCGTAATTTCCTATGTCTTTGTATTCATTCTGTCACTGTGTCCCAATTTGCTTGTTTGTTTTTACCTCATTTTGGACAGTTTGCAGCTTTTTCTTGCCTTTCTCTGTTTTTGGGGTCATTTTGTGTCACTTTTTCTTTTTTTTTTTTTACTTTGTGTGTCTTTAAGGTGATATTGTGTCTAATTTAGGCTATTTTTGATCTGTTTTGTGTCATATTTGAACCTGTTTGTGTCTGGTTGATTTTGTACCGTTTTTGTAATGTTGCATCTCTTGGTGGCCGTTTTATGTCCGTTGTGTTTCTCTGAGGTCATTTTGTGTCACATTTGTGTTACATCCTGTCTCATTTTGCTTGTTTTTTTTTGTTTCATTTTGGACATTTTGCAGCTTTTTGTTGCCTTTCTCTCCTTTTGGGGTCATTTTGTGTCACATTTGCTTAACTTTGTGACTCTTTAAGGTTAGACAGTGTGTAATTGAGATTATTTTTATCATTTTTGTTTCATATTTGAACCAGTTTGTGTCTCTTTTTTGCTGTGTTTTGCATCTTTTTCTGGTCTTTCTCTCTTTTTGGGGTCATTCTGTGTCACATTTTAGTTTCTATTGATCTCATTTGTGGCACATTTGGGACATTCTGTGTGTGTGTTTGTGGTCATTTTGCATCTCGTTATGGTTGATTTGGTATCACTCTGGTTGTTTCACGTCTCTTTGAAGCCATTCTGTTTTGTTCTGAGGTCATTTGCGTCACATTTGTGTTACTTTGTGTCTCATTTTGCTTGTTTTTATGCCTCAATTTGGACATTTTGCAGCTTTTTGTTTCCTTTCTCTCATTTTGGGGTCATTTTGTGTCACAATTGCTTTACTTTATGTCTCTTTAAGGTTATATACTGTCTAATTAAGATCATTTTGTGTCATATTTGGACCAGTTTGTGTCTCTTTATGGTAATTTAGCATTTTTTTCTGGTGGATTTTGTACCATTTTGTGGCTTATCTATGTCCATTCTGTTTCTTTCAGTCATATCTTGTGTCTCACTGATCTCATTTGTGGCACATTTCGGACATTTTGTGTGTGTTTGTGGTCGTTTTGCATGTTGTTAACGCTGATTTTGTACCACTCTGGTTATTTCGCATCTCTTTATAGCCATTCTGCTTTTCTCTGAGGTCATTTTTGCATTATTCTGTGTCTTATTTTGGTTGTTTTGCATCTATTTTTGTTGCCTTTTGTGTCACATTTGCTTTACTTTGTGTGTCTTTGAGGTTATATAGTGTCTAATTTAGGTCTTTGTTTCTCTCTTTTGTGTCTTGTTTTGGTGGTTTATTGTCACATTTTAGTCATTTTGCATCTCATTCTATGTCTCTGAGGATACAAGTGTCTCAGTTTGTGTCTCTTTGTGGTAAGTTTGCATTTTGTTATGATCCATTTTTGTTGTTGTCATACCTCCCTGGTATTTTCACTTCTCTTTGTTGCCATTCTGTCTCTCTGAGGTCATTTTGCGTCACATTGTTTTATATCCAACAAGAACCATACAAACTGTTGATCACAAGCAGCATGGGAAACCTGGAAGCTTTTACTTCCTAGAAAGGAAAGCTTTGGGGGGATTTTGCATTTCTGGTAATGAATTCTGAATGTTTTGTTTTTTTTACATTTGGGGGGAAAAAAACAGGTTTATGATCTCAAATGAGAATCCTGTGGCCATTTCAGTGCAGTAAAACGTGAGACCGACCGACCGACCAGCGAGGCGCTCTGTGTAACCAGCTGTGGACGTCGACACTCAAACACACCCAGCGAACAATAAGTCTGTGGACCAAGAAAACAGAGTCGGCCGAATGTTTGCGTTTTCAGAGTGTGTGACCAGGACAACCAGCTGCCTGCGTCACAAGCCGTCATATCCTGGCGTGCCGTAACACCATCGTCTCCTTTTTTTTATTTGCCGTAATGTAATGTTTGATTTATGGTTAATGTTACACAGAGGGCATTCCAGACACACCTTCTGCTCTCATCGCATAGAAAACATGTTTGACTCTGACTCAGGAGAGGTGCTCGAGTCTGAAGGAGCAGGATTTGGGGTTATTGTTTCCTCTGTGTGCTCAACAGATTCCAGTTTTCTCTTGGCAGCATGCTTGTGTGTGCAGGTTTCCTCACCTGGGAGACACAACGCAGAGTTTACAGGAATCCTGCAGCTCCTCTGAAACAACTATGGTGCTTTTTCATCAAAACAAGCTCATTCAAACACACCGAAAAACAAACGGAGCAAAATCAAACTTACTTAAATGGAAAAATAGCAAGAAAACTGCAAGAACTCTGCAGAAAATTTTGGCTTTTCAACTGTCGTAACTGTGTTTCTGAGTTGTTTCTCAACATTTCTGCACTACAATAGACCTTTTTCACTGCAGATATTCTGAACTTTTGCATCAGAAAAAGCACAGGAGGAATTAAAAATGTTAATAATGGTTCAGTTCTACTTAAAGTGGATTCATAAAGGGGAGAGAAAGTAAAACACACAGGAGAAAGACACCCAGACTGAATGGCACACACATGACATTTATACTTGTTTTGTGTCTCCAGATGTGCATCCTGGAGATGTTATTTGTCATTTTGCTTCACTTTGTGATCATTTTTTGTCACATTTTTAAACATTTTGCATCTTTTTATAGCCACTCTCTTTCTCTGGGTCATATTTAGTGTCTTGATTTAGTTGTTATTCATCTCTATGTATCACATATTGGTTGTTTTGTGTCTTTTTGTGTCTCTCTTAAGGTCGTTTTGGGTCACATTTGCTTTACTTTGTGTCTCATTTTGCTTGTTTTAGCCTCATTTCGGTCGTTTTGCTTCTTTTTGTTGCTTTTCTCTCTTTTTGAAGTCATTTTGTGTCACATTCGCTTTATTTTCTGTTTCATTTTGGTTATTTATTATCACACATTGGTCATTTGCAGCCATTATACTTCTCTTAACGGCAATCTTGTGTCTCGTTCTAGTTGTTTTCAGCCCTTGTGTGTCATATTTAGAACAGCTCGTATCTCCTTGTGGTAATTTTACATCTGTTGTGGTGGATTTTGTACAATTCTGGTACATTTGCATCTCTTTGAAGCTTTTCTTTTCTCTGACATCACTGTGTGTCACATTTAGGTTATTTTGTCTCATTGTGGCTGTTTTTTGCACAACTTTGGTATTTGGCATCTTTTTGCTGCCATTTTCTGTCTTTTTGAGGTCATTTTGTGTCATATTTGTTTTATTTTGTGTCTATTTTGGTAGTTTATGATCACATTTTTGTTATTTTGCACGTCTTTGTAGTTGTTCTATGTCTCTTCAAGGTTATTTAGTGCTTTATTTTGGTTATTTTTGATCCAGTTAATCTTTTTGACAAACTAGTAAAAATATTTGAAAGTATATTTCTACTCTGTCACAAATCATTGAATGTAAATTTTAAAATAACTAAATAAATAAATAAAATTTCGTCCATTTAAAACTAAATCCACAACACAAAAATGTCCAAAAAGCAAAAGAGTCCGACTATTTTCTGAAGTGACTCTATGATACCACTGCAGTCATAACTTTTTAACACTTACATATGTCTCTTAAATTCATAGAACATTTTTAAAACTGCATTTCATATGTAGATATCAGATATTAAAACCAAGTCTGGTTTAAAAACGTGCTTTCAAAATTGAGTTTATTATTATTATTATTACTCTTTTTCTCTTTAAAGTGACCCACTTATAAAGTGGCCCATATTTTCAACAGCACAAAATAATTTAAAAAAAGAAACCAAGAATGATGGAATAAGTTATTGCAGAGGCTGAAAAGATGCAGGAATTGTTTTTAGTCATTTAGAAAGAACTGCAGCCTCGCATCACTGACTCTTTCTTTTGTAAGAAGCAGGAACCAGAAAAAGGGAGATGAAGCTGAGCATCATGTTCAGCGGAGACACAGATGTTGCAGGAGCAGAAGAATCTGTAACAATGCTGTTTTGTTAGCTGGGTTTTTGTGCACTTTGCATGAAAAATGTTAAGGAGACTTCCGCTGTCCTCCTGTTGGACACAGCTGCTGCAGAGAAGAGTTGGTTCATCAAAATAGGCATAAAGATCTCTGGAGATGTGTCCTACGCTTTCATTTCCAGGATTTTACTTCTTCACATGCCTAAGTTGATGGAGAATGAAGCTATTGTTGAGTGGAGGCATTTCAGCCAAAACAGCCTCATCCAGTCTGTGAAGGAGTCAGAGCGCCCTCTTGTGTTAATGGGTAGAAAATGCAGCATTGAATCCACACAGTGCTGAGAAAAGGTGTAAATGTGGGCGTAAATGTGGGCGTGATGCATTTACACTCAAGACCTGAGCAGGCAGGAACAAGCAGAGCTCAGTTGCTGAGATCACACTGAAGAGAATGGAGTCAGACAAGAAAATCACTATTCTGAGGGAAGGATTCATGGTGAAGAGGGTGAGACGTTTATTACTGTAAAATATTGAGTCAGTGTGTGTCTTGTTAAGAGGGATGTAAGGACAGGACCTTTGGAACAGAAAAAAAAGTATATTTCTAAGTATATCTGTGCCTGAATCTATTCAACTTTGCCTGTTTTTGGGACTTTGGACATGAACACAGGAAGGAGGTTAAAGTTAAGCTGGAGAACTTGTCATAAAAGTTAATAATAAAATGAAAAAGAAAAAAAAAGTCATTTTACTGAATTGTTCAGTCTTTTATATTTGCAAAATAGTAAAAAAAAATTACATAGACTGTGAATATACATGTTTAATGTAATATAACATTAAAAAATGTATGTAAAGTAACATGTAAAAAATGCTATTGTACTGTATGTATTATCTAAAGTTAGCTGTTTATTGTTGTAATTAGAATTGTATCATCATCATTTAATAACTGTGGTTTTACTTTCTTTTTTTAAACATGTAAATCTGTTCATTTTATACTTTTTAAGTGTTAAATATCTGTTAGATATTTTTTGGTAGTTACATTTAGAAGCTCACCCTACGCTGGATTTAATCTATATTTTTTATTCTTATGACATAGTTTTTTTTCTGGGGGAAGTTTTGGGTGCTTGAGTTGCTGGATTTTGCAGTTTTATATATTATTAATACATAGTTCGTGACTCCTACAAGGACTGACACTGTACTGAAAGACTTCTGAATCGCTGCTATTGTGAATGCTGAGGAGAGGATGCTACTCTTCAGTCTGTGCTGTTTTGATTCTTGTTAATCCGATTTATGTTTATTTGCTTGTTTATTTGTGCTTAAAACATGTATGTACAATAGAAAATAAAGCCAGATAGCGAATAGCAATAAAAAAGTTCATCTCTTCCTGTGACATCTTTGTGTTGACAGGGTCACGTTGTTCACAACTGGAAGGCTCGCTGGTTTGTTCTGACGCCAGACAAGCTGCTTTATTACAAATACGATGGAAGCAGAAGAGACTCGTGTCAGAGAGGAAAAATCCTGCTGAAGGACTGCGTGATAACTTGTCCTTTCTTGGAATTTGAAAATCGACCGGTGAGTCATTTTTATGCTGACAATGAAGATGTTGAGAAGCACTGATGCTGTTTGTCACTGAGTGATTACTGAGTGCTCCTGTCATAGCATGGAAGTGTAACTGTTCAGAGCATTTCAGTAGAGACATCTGCACTTTTCTTTATATTAAAAGCTTTGTTGGGGCCAAATTATGGCATAAACTTTAATGTTAAAGGTGAAAAAGTAGCAAACTATTAACTAACAGCAAAAATTCTTCTCCAAACTAAGTGATAAAATCTTTTATAAAGCAAAATATACACCACATAGGCCTGAAATGTACAAGTACAGATAAATACTGAGGACATTTTTAATCGCTGTTTCCCTTTGTTTCCATTTTATTGATGGAAACCACAGTGCAGGTGTGTCTCCAGCAGCTCCACACCTCACTGATGAGAAAATGCGTTGCCTCAGGTTTCTGCTTTGTCCAGACCTGAACTTTAGAGAACAATTTGTAATTTTGCAAGTTTACTGGCACCAACAGGAGTCAACTTCTCCTTTCTGTGTTTTTTGACTAGTTGGTGTTCAAGCTGCAGACAAAGCACGGCGTGAATCACTTCTTGGAGGCCTGTTCCCGAGAGGAGAGGGACGAGTGGGCTGCTGAGATCACTGCTGAGGTCAACAAGCTGCAGACGGGCGATGGTGGGAAGGTGACGGACCAGCAAGACCCCGACGGTTCCCAGTTACACAACATCAACCTGAGGTAAACCCGGCTGCCTCCCATGGATTTACCACAAATTCTCACTGTCTCGCCCTGTTTTAATCACACTGTGTTTATGTTTCTAATTGTCTCAGCTTCTGCTTTTGTCTCCTTACAGCAAAGTGTTGGACTCCATGTATGACGTCCACAGCGGCATCAAGATGAGCAACCACGTGGAGCAGGGCAGCACCTACAGCAACTGCTTCTCAGGTGAGCCTCTGAAATATCAATAGTCTGAGCTTTAATATGCTGCAAGACATTTGAAAGGAATCATATTGATCACTTACAAGAACACAGAATTAGAGTCCAGCTAGTTTGTGGTAATTCCTGCAGAGCTGATACTCATTAGACCGTCCATATAAGTGCAATATATAAACCACGACTGCTTTATACAAGTAACCTGCAGTAAATTATGATCCATCTTTAGCAACTGTTGTAACTTAAGTAATGTTTCAGTTGCATGACTGACAAGGCAAGAAAAGTGTATTTGTATAGAAGCATCCAAAGTTCTGTACATATTAGAAAGAAATGTGTAAAGGACAACGTTTAAAGATGCAATAAAGAGCGAAAGAATGATAAAAATTGGATGCAAATACACTTTATGTATGGTAGTGTTTTTAAACTTACACTTGAGCCATCATAAGAAAATAAAATTTCATACATTATTTATTGATTTAAAGTGAATTTGCATTATAACCGGTTGTATAAATTGTATGTCTGTCTACACTGTAAAAGAAAATCTGTAATGTTATTATTTCTTTTGATTTTACTGATTTTTCTTACATTTTTACATTAAAAAATATATAAAATATATATTTTTTAAATTACATAGGCAGAAAGTGAATGTGCATCTCTAATGTAAAATCATATTAAATTGTAGGTGTGAAAATTTAAATACAAAAAATGATTTTTTTGACATGTCAAGACAATTAAAATACATTCATAAAATTATGGTAATTTCACAAATATTTATTCAGTAGGCAAAAAAAGTTAAATTCAAGCTCATGATTGTAAATATATTTCTAAAATTAGACACTCTGGTGGCAATTAACAGAAAAATATGTTTTGTTTCTGTAATTTCTGTAAAAGGCCAAAAAAAAAAACAAAAAACAAAACAAAACATAATCTAATTTATAAATAATGCAAGAAAATATATTTCAATTCTGGAAAATTAATTCATTTTTTCTTTCTTTCTTTCTTTCTTTCTTTAAAAAAATGAAATTAGTGTTTCCATTAAGTTAAATATTAAGGCACCCTCAGCTGACAGAACATTTCTCCTTTTTTTTCTTCTTTTTTCTTCTTGCTGCATATCTTATGAGTCATACATCCAAAAGGCAAATCAATTTCATTTATTATAAAAATATACTGTTTAACTCGTATGACACGTCTGCTGATCAAAGACAAAGCAACACAGTGCCTCAGCTGCTGGAATATTAACATTTTCTTTCCCTTTCTTCAGTCTACGTGTCTGCCTTCATTAGATAAAGCTGTGTGTGATGACTGTTTGTGCTCCCTGCAGGCTCAGCGGTGGTGGACTGGCTGGTGTTCATGCAGCTCGCTCTGACCCGTGTGGAGGCCGTGACGTTGGCCTCGGCTCTGCTGGAGGAAGGTTTCTTGAGAACCGTCGGCCTGAAGAGCGTCGCTGCTCTCCGGACGGCAGGCCTCAGCGAGCAGTTCATGGACGACTCCACTGCTCTCTACAGCTTTGTATGTTCCACTGAATACATCAGCCTTTTGAATAACACCACACTCAGAATATCTACACATAGCCCACAGATTCTCAGAGCTGATTCAGTTACTGCATTGATCTGAGACAGGAGACGTCAGGATGGAGGTCTGCTGGTTTATTGCATGTTTGTTCTCCATCGCAGTCTGACAGTCTGAAGAAAAGAGGCAGCGTGAAGGCAGAGACGTCGCTGTCTGCAGTGGAGCTCAGTGGAGCTGTGATGAAGAGAGGATTCCTGCTCAAACAGGTGAACACACACTGCATCAGCAGAAAATGATGAACGTATTCTTAACCAGCAATTTTAGGAAAGAAACTTGTCCTGTTGAACATTTGAAAAAAACTTTTAGATCATATTTCATGGTTACATTGGATAATCAATAATTTGATATGAGTTTTTTTTAGGTTACTTATAAGCCATTGATAACAACAACTTGGGGTTGCCAGGTTGAGAAAAGCTTTTAACTTAGTTAGTTTTAGTTTAGTCAGTTTAGTTTTTTCACTGCACAATTGCTGTGGGAAGAAGAATTCACCATGACAATTATAAAATCAAACTATGTTAAATACATCCTTAACTTTGTTGTATGTATTTTTTTTTGGTTTATTTTGCAAATTAATTTCACTTAAAGTCCAAGTGAAAGGAGGTGGACAGACAGTCTTTAATCATAACTGTATTGTATGTTGTTTTTAGTGTCAAACAGACAAGTACTGGTGCTGCAATGATAATTATTTACATTATTATTATGTGTAACATGACAAGAATACTTCACATTTCAAATATTACAGTTATCATCATTGCTAATATATTGTATGGTATAGTATATTGCAGCACCTTCAATTAGACGTTTTCAACACTTATTTTCTTGGAAAGTGTTGCAAAGAAGCTCGACCAAAATCCATTTATTTACAACTTATTACAATTTAATGACAGTAGATGAATGAATGCAGTAATTATAGTGAACGTGATGGTGTAACAAAGACAGAAACCCGCTGCTAAATGGATGACTAACATTTATAAATGCAATACCAGCCGAAGAGACTTTTCACAACCTGGCAACCCCAAACTTGTTCATAACAACATTGTGTCAGTGCTCTATAAGGCTTATCGAAGGCTTTATTAACTACTGATAAAGGTGTTTACTATAAGTTAGAAATTATAGTGGTGTAGTTTTAAATTTTTACCATTTTTGGCGTCATTTGTTCATATTTGGATGAATTAGTCAAATCAACGTTTGTCTAATCTTCAAACAGGGACACCGACGGAAGAACTGGAAGGTGCGACTGTTCGTGCTGCGTTCAGAACCTGCATTCCTTCACTATTATGACCCCACCTCGGTGAGTTCACAGACAGCGTTACAAAGTGCAGGAACATAAAATAAATAAATAAAATAAAACTATTAATGCTTAACTTTATGACAAGCTGAATGAAACCTTAAATCAGCTGGGTTTTGTTTGCCTGTACGTCCAGCTGTGACTGTGAAGCTGCTCTTACACACCATCCTCAGTAATTCCTCCTCATGTCTGATCCACTTCCTGTCTTTCGTCACCTGTCAGGATGACATCAGCCCAGTGGGCGGCTTCTCGCTGCGAGGATGTCTGGTGTCGTCTCTGGATGATAACGGAGTTCCCTCAGGTGAGTCACCGTCTCAGACTCCAGGAACTCTTGAGAAACTTCTGCATTTATAATGTCAGCTTTTCTGTTACATAATCAGAAGATAAACAGCAGACATCTAAGTGTACAATAAGTCCTCTATTGATCCTATGAGTAAGATCCAAAGCCTGATCTTCCCCATGTTGTCTAAGAACTCCTCGATTATGACGAACACATGCCAGTACGTAACCAGATGTTTAGGACAAATAAAATACTGAGAACAATGTGCAGAGACCAACAAAAGTATCATCATGGGCAGATTATGAAAGAAGGATACAGATGTTTAAAAGCCTTCACTTATCCCAACACACCCAGATTGAAGCCTGCAGAAATGATGACACATTGTCTTTATGGTCCTTTTGTTGTTCCATTTTGCTAATTTTATGCCTACTGTTGTTTGTTTTGTGTCTTTTATTGGCCATTTTGATTCTCTTTAGGGTCGTTTTTATCCCATTGAGGTCATTTTGTGTTTGTATCTTTAATTTGGCGTAACATATTGATAATGTTGTGTCTCTTTGTGGTCATTTTGTGTCATGGTATTTTTCGTTTTTGCCCCATCTTGGTGTCACAGTTTGATTATATTACAGATTTGATTTTATTTGTCGTTCATTGCATTTTATTTATTTTTTGTCCCATATTATGAATTTTATGTCTCTTTGAGGTAATTTTTCATCTTTCTGTGGTTGTTTTTGTCCAGTTTTGATCTTTGTTTTTATTGTCTTGCATCTCTTTGTGGTTCTTTCATTTAATACGGGTTGCTTTGGATCATATTTTGCTCGCTTCGTGTCTCTTTGTTGCCATTCTGTGTGTCTTCGAGGTCATTTTGTGTTACATTTAGTCTCTTTTTTGGTTATTTTGCATCTCTTTCATGTCACATTTTGTTTGTTTTGTGTCTGCTTCTGGGATATATATTATAACTATAGGGAAAGAGCCATGGGCCCCCTGATTAGGGTGTGCTCAATAGGCCCATTCAGTAATTTGTCCACGTGCATTGTGAGTTTTGGGGCTTTTATTGGGGTTTTGTACAGTAACTAACTGTAACAGCAGACTTCAGAGCTTCCCTGTCATCCACTCACAGACCTGCATGTCCAATATTTCTGCTCTAATCTGACATTAGTCCATCTAGTGCCGGTTTACTATGTCAATCCTGACACAGATAAACTGTATTGACTGTAATTTCTCCTCCCTTGCAGGTGTGAAAGGCAACATTCAAGGCAACCTGTTTAAAATCATCACTCAGTCGGACACACATTACTTCATCCAGGCTCCGAGTCACCAGGACAAGATGGACTGGATCGATGCAATCAGGGAGCAAACATAGAGCCGCCGGTTCCACTTAAAACCACATCTTGTTCTTTTAATCTGCTATGAAGAAGATTGAATCTAAACATTCTGTGAATGTGCTGTAGCAGTAGAGTAGATGGTTCGTAACATTTCTGTTCATTTGTCTCTGAAATTTTGGCACATTTAGTCTGATTATTGTTTATTTTAGAGTTTGTAAAGGCCAACAGTTGTAGCAGTTCATCTTGTAGTCATTCTGTTTAAGTTGATATTTTTGTTTAACAGATTATTTAAAAAATAATCATTTGGACTATAATTCAAATGGTGAATTTTATGTACTTGGTTGTAATTTCTATGTAATTCTTATTTTTTTTTGCTCCTAATTCTGGGAGAAATATTGTCTTCTGTATTTTACTACCACTACTTTTCTTTTTCCTTTATTTTTTTGAATTTTTATTTGACAGCTGTAGTTACCTCACACAACATGTGATAAACCTACAACATACCAAACACAATTAGGGTATGAATCAGTGGTTCCCAACATTGTTGGCTTGTGACCCATTACAACAAACTTTTCAGAGGTCTGTGAGAGCCACATCTCATCTAAACATCTCAGATGATTTCGCTTGGCCCAAACTGGAAAAATACTCCAATATTTTCTTTCTTTCTTTCCCAAACCTTTTAATAATCTCATGACCACACAGATAAATAAATACATTCAAACAAATGCATATTGCAGATGTTACTTTTACTTGTAGTGTGCAGGTCTTGCACACTGCGATGATTAATCCTTCTTCTTCATTATTCCATTTACTTCATGGAAAGCACCAGTTCCCCAGAGCATGATGGTGCCACCGCCATGCCTGATTGTAAGTTTGGTGTTCTTTGTGTTAAAGGGCTCACCTTCTTTCCAAACATATTTCTGGTCATTGTGGCTACATTTTTGTTTCATCTGACAGCAGAACTTTCCTCTAGAAGGCCTTTTCTTTGTGCAGCAACAAACTTAAATCGAGCCTTAAGGTGCGATTCCTGGAGGGAGAATCTATTCACGTCTTGCATGGCGGCCTCTAAAACACTGTGAACACTGACAGCTGTGTTCCAGCAGCTCTTAATTCATGCATAGCTGCTTTTTGGTGATTCTTGGTTGACTCTTGACCATCCTGACTAGTTATCTCTTGGCAGCAGGTGATGGTTGTTTTCTTCCTGGTCGTGGCAGTGACACAACTGTACCATGCACTTTATAGTTACAAACAGTTGTTTGCACAGATGATTTTGTGATCTTTAGCTACTTTAAAATGGCTAAAAGGGATTTTCTTGACTTGTTCAAGTTAAGGATTTGCTTTTTCAGATTTCTGCTGAGCTCTTCTGACTTCCCCACTTTAATGTTTGTGGCTGAGTCTAATGAGTGGAACTAATGGGTCCTATTTAAATTGGTTCAAAGGAGTCAGCAGTGAGAAATTAAAAGGACATGCCACGAAGAAAATTTGATTAACACAACTTTCTCCATCACCCAAACTTATAATTCCAGTTGCTGTATGTATCTTTGTGACTCAGCATTTTGTCATATTTCCAGAAGACCTAAAATAAATCTATAAAAGCACAGAAATACACGATTGTTTTTTGTGCCATGATGCATGTGTTTGAATCATTCCACCATAGAAAAGGTTATAGAAAAGGAAAGTCAGGACTGCCATGACATACATGGTCTCTACAAGAGTATGCAAACTTTTGTTCACAGCTGCATATATGTAATTTAACACAACATGAGCTTTACTGGATTTCCATTGTAGAGGGTTTAAATCAGCTCCAATGTGATGATTAAAACAAAACTGTCTCAAAACCATAAATTAAACTTTTCCAACCCTAAAGGGTGGAATTTTTTCATGTGGTACTTCTACTTTAACAAAAGGTCTCTCAGAGGAAGCACAGTGCAAGTAGAGACTAGAAAAGCCTCTGGAGGTATTCGTCCCAATCGTCAAACTTTATTTCAGTCTGGCTGTTTAGCGGCGCTCCCAGCAACCACAGCCCGACACTCCCACTGTGCAAGCTGAGTCGAGCCTTTATCTGAGTGACTCAGTCTGAGCTGGTGTTGTTTTACAGTCTGCTTCCAGGGAAATCATGAGTGACACAATCAGCCAGCGATATACGACGCTGTGGAAGTGGGTTCTGGGGCGAGTCCAAGCACTGTTTGTGGCTTAATTCAGTTAATCTGCCTCTCTCTGTGGGCGCCTGTATTTAGTTTTGTGTCTCTTTGTGGTCGTTTTGCATCTCTTTGTGATAGTTTTTGTCCCATTGTGGTTAAGTTGTTGCTAATTTTGATGCTCTGTGGGCATTTGCATTTAATTTTGGTCGCTTTGTGCCACATATTATTAATTTTCTGTCTCTTTGTGGTCATTTTGCATCTCTTTTGATATTTTTTGCGCCATTTTGGTCATTTTGTTGCATCTTTTGATGGTTCGTGGGCACATATTGTTAATTATATGTCTCTTTGTGGTCATTCTGCATCACTGTATGGTTGTTTTTGTGCCACTTTAGTCATTTTGATCTTTTTGCATCTCTTTGTGGGCGCTTGCATTTCATTTTGGTCTTTTTGTGTCTAATAATTTTATTTTTGTGAGTTCATGTCATCATTTTGTATTATTATATGGTTGCTTTTGTCCTGCTTTGGTCATTTTGTTGCTTATTTTGGTGGTTTGTGGGCATTTGCATTTAGTTTTGCTAATTTTGTGCCACATATTGTTAATTTATCTTGTCTGTGTGGTCATTTTGCATCTCTTTATGACAGTTTTTGTCCCATTTTGGTCATTTTGTTGCATATTTTGATGGTTTGTGGGCATATGTTGTTAAGTGCATGTCTCTTTGTGGTCCCACTTTGGCCATTTTGTGTCTCGTTTTTCACCTCTTTGTGGGTGCTTGCATTTAATTCTGGTAATTTTGTGTGTTAGAATTGTATTTTTGTGAGTCTTTGTAGTCATTTTGTTGCTCATTTTGATAGTTTGTGGGCACTTGCATTTGATTTTGGTTATTTTGTGCAACACATTGTTAATTATTTGTCTCTTTGTGGTCATTTTGCATGACTGTATGGTTATTTTTGTTCCACAATGGTCATTTTGTGTCTCGTTTTGCAGCTCTTTGTGGGCGATTGCAATTAGCTTAGGTTATTTTGTGCCACATTTTGGTCATTTTAGTCTCTTTATAGCCATTCTGTGTCTCTTTGAGGTAATTCTAGGTCTTATTTTGGCTGTTTTGTGCCCCCTCATATGATAAAGCCATCATGGTCATTGTGCATCCGGTGAAATCATAATGGACACAATACTCCAGTTATATACGACACAATGGAAGTGGTTCTGGAGCAAATCCAAGCAGCATCGATTCAACCACGGCAACAACAAATAACAACAAAATTGATTTATTGCAGTGAAGTAAAGTCGATATGAAACATCCACATAAAAAGTGCTAGTGGTAAAAGAAACCAACTCAAAGCTGATAATGGTGCAACAACAGAAAACCCTTCCAGCCTTGTGTTTAATCTGGACTCCAACTGAGAGAAATGAAGCATACTGTGTGTTTTTACGGGCATGCACTATTGTTTTACATTATTACACCTGTTACAGTACGTAGTCGGGCACAGAATGACAATCTTGGTTACGCAATCAGTTTCAGAGACATTCATCATCATGCAGGCGCTCGTAAACGTAAGTGCTTTCAAAGGTTAACTCCAGAGAAATCAAGCCTGAAATCTCCACTTTTTCTTAAATCACAGACATTTTTTTAAAATGTTTGTACAAATGTTCATTCAGGGAAAACATTATAGCTTCAATCACATTGTTCAAAACTTAATTCAGTTCAAATCACATTTGATTTAAGACTGTTACATTCAGTCAGTATCTTCAAGTCCCCAGACAGGTAATCTTAGTGAAGGCACTTCGTCTTAACACGTGATTACGAGGCAGGTGTGACTTAGTCTGAAAATGGAAACACAACATCCCCACCGCGGATTAAATTATTCACTTAAAAAGTAGATCTATCCTAATCTTAAATTATTGTATAACTGTCCGGGGCGTCCTCGTGTCATCTGTGCGAGGTGCTAGGCCACCTTGGTGAGCTGGAGGTCGCCGAAGACTCGTAAGGCAGTGAGGGAGGCGAGCTGGGAGAGTCGGTGGGTGAAGCCGCACAGAGGCTGTCCGTCCACCAAGATACGAAACTGCTGGTGCTCACAAACTATCTCCATCTAGGAGGCAGAGGGAAGTCAGAGTCATATAACAATACACACTTGTTTCAGCCTGAATCACAAACTGAGGCTGCAGCTGAGAAGTCAACAAGAAAAGTCTCATTATTGAAAAATCAGAGGTCAGACTTCCAAAATAAGAGCTCTCTTTTTGGTCATTTTGCATCACTCTGTAGCTGTTTTTGTCCCATTTTGGTCCTGCTTTGAGTTATTCTGATCATTTTACATCTCTTTGTGTGTGTATGTTTAATTCTGGTCATTTAGTGTCTCTCTATGATCATTTTGCATCGTTTCTGTCCAATTTCAAATATTTTGTGTCTCATTTTGATCATTTTGCATCCCTTTGTGGGTGTTTTTGTCCAATTCTGGTTATTTTTTGAAATTCATTTTGAATGTTTGCATTCATTTTTGGCCATTTTGTGTCTCAAATGATCAATTTTGTTTGTCTTTGTAGTCATTTTGTGTCACTGTATGATTGTTTTTGTGTAATATTTGTCATTTTGTATCTCATTTAGATCATGATGCTTCTCTGTGCGGTTGTTTGCACTGAATTTTGGTCAGTTTGTGACTCATAATATTAATTTTGTGTCTGTATTGCATCATTTTGCATCTGTTTATGGTTGGATGCATTTAAATCAGGTTGTTTTATGCTACATTTTGGTAGTTTTGCTTCCTCTGTCGCCATTCTGTGTGTCTTTGAGGTCATTTCGTTAGTCTGGGTCTTTGGCAACTCTTTTGTTTCCCCATTTCTTTCATGCCAACATGGTTACATATGACTGGATTAACAGCCTGTGGCAAGACATGTGTTAAGCAAAGCCAGGCATATTAAATCTCTCTTTGTGGTCATTTTGCACCTAATTTTGGCCATTTTGCATAATTTTACAGTTGTTTTAGTTCCATTTTGGGTTTTTTTATGTCTCATTTTGATTGTTTTACGTCAGTCTATGAGTGCTAGCATTTAATTTTGATCATTAGCTGTGTCATATTGGTAACGTTCTGTCTCTTTGTAGTCATTTTGTGTTGCCATATGGTTGTTTTTGTCCAATTTCGGTCATTTTGTTGTCTCATGGATCGGTTTTAGTGAGATACGCTGCTACAGGCAGATGCATGTTTGCAAAACTGAACCTGCACAGGAACTGACATTTGATATTTGCAAACTACATATAATGTAGCCTACATGTTTCTCTGGTCACTGGAGACAGCATCTTAACTGAGTTTGTGAAGTAGAGGACGATGATGATGATGATGATGATGATGACGATGATGATGATGATGATGATGATGATGATGATGAGGTATAACGGACAACCCTGTTATGCCTCATCATATCCTGTTTGTCTCTGTAGAAACAATAACTTGTACAAAAAGCTGCTTACGGTGCAGTTTTATCAGCTGACTGTGTAAAATCAAGCTAATAGGAACTCCCATATAAAACATATTACAACATGTTAGAATACAGACTAGCTGTGACAACTACTGGAGCAACACAGCACCAGAAAAAACTCCTGTAATTCTCCAGTAAAACTTTGCTTTTGCAGAAACTGTGCAATAATTGAAGCTTATTGAACCGTGCTGATCGATGTCGCCTCAGGGCTGGAAGCCTGAGTGCAGAAAGTAGATCATCAAAGTACCTTGAAGGGTTCTCCTGCTGCAAAAGGAAAGAAGGACAGAGTATTTTCAGCAGAACCCCATTTCCCGGCGAGGCGGGCGTTGCGTTGGACGGCCTTCTCCCTGAAGCTGACCTTCAGCTGCAGGCCGACGTCGCCCTCTGAGTCCTCCTCCAGAGGCCGACTGGACAGAATCACCTCCATGCTTCGAGACACAAGCACAGAACAGAAACAGAATGCAAAGTTTACAGCAACACATAAATACTCTGTCTGTCTTTCTTTTTGAACTGAACGTTTTATCTGGATTATCAACTTTCATAGATTCGCTGGAGAACAGTGACATCTTGTGGTTGAGGAAGACTCAAATTCAGCGCACGAACGTGAGCATCAGGACAGAACAGTTTGAATAAAAACCACATTAAAGACATATTGGTTTAATTCTCCATCAGAATCAATAATATTTTTAATAATATCACTTCTCTGCAGGTTAAGATATTTGCAGAATAACACAGTCGCTTCATTAAATGTGATGAATTCTTCCACGTTAAACTACAAGAAATTGTATAAAGCACATAAAACTTACTCAATATTTAAGATATTTTAAAAGATTAATAGAACATTGGCAGGAGCCACTGAGCAAAAAGAGACATTTAGGGTTATTTTAGTTGCTTCAGATTATTAGAGAATGATCCAAATAGTCCTCCCACCACTGCCAACTTCTCACGACTCTTTCTTTGACCATCTTTGGTGACCAAACTTCTGAGCAAATCCTCCACTTTGCTGACTCATTTTATAATTTGCCCTGGAATTATTATAGTTTCTCTCGTGTCAAACCTATTTTAGGAGCTTCTGAGAACCAAGACAACATATCTTTGGAGGAAGAAAATGTTTTATTGTTCTTTAGAATTAAGCAGATTTGGTGTTAAAGTGACCTACCGTGTATCTGCACTGTGTTTGGATAAATCATCTCAGAAAAATAATAGTATTAAAACAGTTCTTCAGAAGACTTTATGAGCTTCTTTTACTACATTTTATTGAAGTTATTTGGTGGCAAGTGAAGGAATGAAATTAGTGCTGCAACTAATGATCAGTGTTTTTATTTCAGTGTCACAATTTCCCAGATCCTCCACTGGCATCCTGCAACATGTTGTTTGTTTTGTTTTACCAACAGTCCAGAACCCAAAATATCAAATGTATTATAATGAAAGACCCAGAAATTCTGCAAGTTCTTACAGTTACAGTCCATTTTTTTTTACAAGTTTTAAAATTAATCTGCACATCCAGCTTTCTTTGGAAGATAATTTGCAATCTTTGGGGTGTTTGTTTCCCTTCATAGTGACACATGCTGTGGTTGTGTTTTGGCCAGTTTTCAACACTGTACTTGTCTCTAATTAAATCAAATAATAAGAAATGCTAATCAATGACCAGCAGCTGTGTTCATTTCAAAATACACATAGTCATTTGTTCTGAAATACTAAAAGAAAAAGTATTTAGGAACAATTTAAAAGCAGTTTTTTCCTTAACCACAAAGAATTGTCTTGAAAATTGAACTTAATTTTCCATTTATTTACATTCATAAAAAAGGAATCATTTTAAAAATGTTTTTTAAGGCACTGACGGCTCTTTAAAGAACTCTTTGCAGAAATACTTCAATAAAGAACATCTTTCTGAAAGGCTTTTTGCAGAACATGATTCTTCTGTTGCATCACTGTGAAGGACCATTTTTGTTTCCAGTTAGCATCTTTATTATCATTTTTTTCAGTGTATGTTTTCTGCACATCACCTGTAAGGATAGTTTTGAATCTGAAGATAAAAAACACCCAAAATAACAGCAGCCTTGTGTTACATTCAGTATATGGGATAAAGGTCCCATGGGAGCCTTTGTCCTTAAAACCTCCTGAAGTTCCTGCAGACAAAAATAACTTTAGCAAAAATGAAAGAAAGTTCTGTGTCACAGTTTATTTTTGCAGAGTAAGTTGCTGCTCTAATTGTCTTTTTATTTTTTATTTTTTACTGCACAAATGTGATGAGTGGCTGAATAAACAGCCTGCTGATGTTATCAAGCACAAGAATGTCCACAGTGACTCTTTAGGTTTCATGGGAACTGCAGCTCTCCCACGCACACATGGACCCAATTCGGAAACTACTCTGATATTTTACCAAAACAGGCACTCAAACAGTCAACAGCTGCTTTTAAAACGTTATTTCAAACCAGGGAGTCTTCAGCTCCAAGTTTAATGAGCGCACCATGCAATGCAATGTGTGCAACAGTTAATAATGCATAAGTCATCAAATGAGATAATGAGAGTGCACTGACCTCTTGGGCTTTTTGTTAATAATTCCCATCACCACCAGCTTCATGGAAGGCCGCAGCCCCCCTTTTATCTCTCCGGTGTACTCCCCCTGTGGAACAATAGAGAGGAGCATCAGCGGGATGAGGCCTGCACCGCTGCTCATCACCAAACTCTCACTTTATCGCGGTGGAAGTGTATGAAAGCTGCTTCCTCATCGTGCAGCCTGCTCGCGTCTCCATCTGCAAGCCGAGGCACCGACAGGAACAATAGCTGTATTGATCCGGCTGTGAAGCAATCAGCTGCTCTGCTGTGTTTCTGCTCAACAAGCTGCACGGTGGCACATTTTTTTTAATGGGATTTTTTTTTTTTCTTTTTTTGAGGAAATGCGACAGTGAAAACAAAAGGAAGCTACGTACATTTTCTTTCTGGTCCTTTTCTTCCATTCCACTCAGGGCGTGATGCGGTGTGGAGGCTTTCGAGCGGTGATGCCAACTGAGCAGCGGCTGACTCTGCCTCCAGCTGGCAAACCCCGCCTGCACCACGTTGTCATAGAGACAGGCTCCGCTCTATTATCCCTCACATGTTAATTAATTCCTCATAATTGGACAGAAGCCTGTTTAAGGATCAGCCTTTGCCCGATTATTTCACTGTCATCTCGCGAGTCTTCTGCTTCTTTGGGTTCAGTTTCACCATTTTCAGTGAAAAAGTCCACAGAGCGCCCTGATACCATCCTGAGGAGGACGCCTTCACTGGCGACGGTCAATGCACTCTAAAAATTAACGTTTTTAATTAACTGTAAAAATAAAATAAAATAAGATAAAAATAAGGCATTGCTATTTTACAGATTGTCTCTGTAGTATTGTTTTACAGATTGACTGTAACCCAAGAAAATTGTACATAATGTCCACATCAAAAATGTGTATTTTTACAAATAGCAATTTATGTTTCAGCATAAAGCTACACTGTTTTTACTGGATTTAAATCAGCAAGTATATTTGTATTTTAAACATATTTGCTGCTATTTGAAAGAAAAAAGTATATTATGGGTGGACATTGGTAAATAATCATTGAAACTTTTGTTTTGAGGATCTGTACTTTTTTTTTTACATTTAAAGATCTTATGATTTCAGATATTACATACAATCTGAGAAAAAAATCTATTACATTGATGTTTTTTTAAAACAGTTTTCAACTGTAATTTTTTCAATATCTTACAATTTTTTCAGATTTTCTCTGTTAAATTACATATAATAGCTAGTAAAATTACATTTTTTAAAAAGTATTGATTTATATGTGAATCATGAAAATACAGGCCAAAACTGTTGATGTCCTCATCAAAAACAATTTTTATTTATTTATTTGTTTTTTACAAATGGTAATTCGTTTTTGTACAATGTTCAACTCTAAGACTACAAGACGTTTTATTGCATTTTAACCAGCAAAATTAAGTATGTTACATGATAAAACTTTAAACTGTTGTTTTATGGATCGGAATTTCCTTTTTTGTATATCACAGAATATTACATTGTGTGACAAATATACAATTTTACTGTATATAAATAGGTATTTTATAGATATTTGCTGGGTTTTTTTTCACTATGTTTATCTTTTTTAACGTAAAAATTATCTACCAATTTTTTGCATATTTTTTTCTGGCACCCTTGCTGCCAGTTTGTTTTTCACTTTTTTTTAATGTATTAGTTTGTAGTGGATTTAAGCTGGTACAGGTGTGGACATAATTCAATATTAGTGACTGAGGGACATTTTAAAGAGTAATATTAGACATTCTTATGTATCAAATATATTTCCTGTTAAATTGACCAAGGTTGAAAATTTGAAACAAAACCCTTTATCTATTTGTCTAATATAATCTTATTCCCCACAATTTAGTTTAAGCCCAAATACATAATTTGAAAAAGTTAATTATGGTTAAATTTTTACTGTGATGGTGTGTACACTTTGTCTGTCAGGAATAAATCACATTGTCACAGTCACTTCATGAGAAGGGTCAATATTTTATTCCAACATTTAATGAAATTAAATTAAATGTAAATTAATTTAATTATTTTTTTTTGAGAAAAAGAAGTCCAAATTGTCTAATTCAAACTTTTAAAACTTTTAACTTTTAAACATAGAATTCTCCCTGGTTTGTCTCCTCTTGTATGACAGTAAATTGAGTATCTTTGGGTTGTGGATGTGTGTCAAACTAAGCTCTAAAAAAAAATACAGATTTTTTTTTCTTTTTTACCATTTCCTGGCACTTTATAGGCCACACAACTGATCAGTTATTCTAAATAATAATAATAATAATAATAATAATAATAATAATAATAATAATAATAATAATAATAATAATCAACAGACTATGGAAATAATCATTACTTGCAGTCCTAATGGAATAGATGGAATTTAACTTTCTGTCCAAGTACCTTACTTTTTTTTACATCCAGTTAGTACTTTTGAACCAACAAATTAAAACTGTACTAGTCCATATTTCGCCAGTGTCTGTGGACGAGAAAAGTTGGCTTTGGAGTAAGAAAGTGGTCACTCTGTTATGTGGCTTTAAAATGAGGTAATATAAAAAGAAAGGTCCTGAAAATGCACCTTCTCCTCTGAATGCTGTATTTCTGTCTGCACCTGAAGGCAGCAGCGGGAGCCCCGCCCCCCATGTGTCAACCTTTGACCAACCAGCGTCTGAGAATCAGCTGATCCAGTCACATGACCGTCGCTGCGCTGTTAGCATAACAGGTCGATGGACAGACGTGTAGCAGGGAGCGTAAATAACCCGGTCTGAGGGGAAACAACACAAAGAAATGAGTAAGTAACTTTATTTCACACTGACGAACTTCTGAAAGCTTTATTTGTATCTAAGTTTGTGCGCCTGCTCGCTGTTACGGAAGTTGCTCAACTTGTTTCAGCTACAGCTGATCAGAAACATGCTCAGCTAATGCTAATGCTAACTACAATAGTAAGGTGTCTGTCAAATGTCATCAGAGACGAAAATGAAAACGTTTTTAAAGCGTTTTTTGTACTCTGTAGCGGTTCTGACTGAATGCTGGACAGCTGTTTAGTCCCACGTTTCTGCCCCAACAAGGTGGTGTGTTTGCACAGTAAATTAAAGGCACAGGTGATTGAAGGGAATCATTTTGCATTAAATAACTTCATTTATTCAGCATCTGTTGAAACAAAGCTTCTGCACAAAGCAGATTAAAGTGCAGGGGATAAAACAGAGCATAGAAAACAATAACATGTGTTAAAGAATGATCTAAAATAGCCACAAGACAAAGCTTAAAAAGACAGACAGACCATCATAGTGAAAAACATGTATAAAGAACGGAGTAAAATTTGCAAGAACAGACTAAAATAATCACATTTAAACCAGTTAAGAGAAGTTCTCATAATAAAATGTTTGGGATCTTATTTATTGGTTCGATTTAGTATTGTTTTTACGCTATTTTGTCTAATTTGACATTTGTTTTACTCTAAAACACTTTTAAATTGCAAATAATGTGATTAATATTATTCTAAAAAAGATTTTTTCAGACATGTTTTTATTAGAAAACTCTGAACAGTTGAGTGGTGTGATGTGTCAATACAGAAAATATCCATGCAAGAAAGTATCACGATAACTCTTCATCCTCAGTAAAGGTGTAACGAATTCGTAAAGCTAGCTCGTGTAAAATGATACTGACAATAAAAAAAGTCAGTTTCATGGAAGTGATTCCAGAAAACAAACCATGATCTGATAAATAAAGGTTAATTTAATAAAGGGTAATTAGTTTACAAACCGCTCCCTTAATTGTCAACTATAGTTGTACGTAAGCAAAGTTAAACTCCTCTTATTTTATTTTAGCTTCTTAATTTGGAATATTTTCAGTTTTTTTTACTCCTCCGTGACAATACATTACATTTCTTTGGATTGAAGACAAAACAAGACGTCTGTCATCCTGAACTTTGGGAAACACTGGTTGACATTTTTCATTTTTCACAATTTTCTGACATTTCATAGATCAAACAGATTCATCAACAATGACAGTAGTTGTTAGTTGCAGCCCTACTCTAAATTTTGGTAAAGTATTGCTATGAGAGTATATAGCGGCTTTATACTTTGTTAAATCGCGCTTTGTTGTACAGTTTTTACGATTCATTGACTGCGTACAGCCATACACGACTTACCATGTGAAAGAATGGGCAAATTAGATTCTTTCCTTTTCATACAAATTAGATTAAGGGCTGTAAAATACAAGGACTTAGCAAATTAAACACCACAAGTCATGCATAATGGCAAAAACAATTTACTTCTCGAGTTATTTAATAGCAGAAAGAGAGAGGAAGAGAATTCTTCCTGGTTGAAAATGGGCCTTTGAGGGAGAACTGTGCCATCAGTAAGCATGATCAATCCATGTAGAGTGGAGGAAATTAGTCTGCGTTACTTCATGTGACAGGAATTTAAACATTATCCTCTTGTTTCTGACCATTTTATATCGGCCTGCATGGCATTGAAAAAAACTGACACTGCGATGTTTAGTTTGCCGTAATATATATTGAAAGATGGGGAAAAAATCCAGCAGTTTTCACAAGATGATGGATCATTAGATTTTCAAATGATGAATCTGTCTCGAATGTTTGGAGTGATTTTTAGGGGAAGAGCATCTGCATAGAAAATAAACTAATTCTGAAAAAGCTGTTTAGATCCTTTCTCATGTGGTGTAAA